CTGGGAAGGCTAGAGGGGTCCGAAAACACGGTGTCCTGGATGTTGGCGGTTGCGCTAAGAGAAACAATCTGTTTGGCTTGTACTGAAGCCACATCCATAAAGCCAGTCAGCAGGGAATCTTTCTCTTTGAGTTCCTCTGAAAGTCGTCGGATGTCTTCCATAAGGTCAGCAATCTTTTTGTTCGCTTTCTTAAGGAGTGTGCAGTCCTCATGGGGCAGAGTTATCTCGGCTAGCATAGTCACCGGAGCTTTGTTGCGATCAGTAGCGTTGATCGCGTTTTTACGGTCATCTAGTTTAAAATCCATGTCGGATGACTAAAATCCTTAACCCACGTAAAACTTAAATAAAGTTAAGTTAAATAAAAAGGATATAAAAAATGTAACGAAAAAGAGTGGATTAAAACTGGATAAGAGTCCGGTTTAAGACGGAGCTTCCGACAGGTGGCTACAGACGCCAACGAGTGCACTTCTAACCTGTATCAGCACTTAAAAAAACACCACAATGCCATGTACGATAGTTGCATGGCTAATAGGCCAAAAACCAGTGTGTCAAATAAGCCAGATACTACCCGACAGGGATTACTGACCTAAATGTTTGAAAGCATAACTCCATATGAACATAACGTTACTTCAAACGACATGTGGAAATGACTCATGAGTTCATCGCGGAAGATAATACATGCATCACCTTATTTCATCAAAACATATAGGCCTGGCTCACAGGAAAGAACAGTGTATGTTTAATCTATCTAATATTTTGTTGGTCATACTAAACACTTATTTATTACTTGTCTATTTTGTATAATACAGAAGATGAAGAGCTTAAAAAATAATTGCATATTAAATCACAATATTGGTAAATAAAATCACTATTAGATTATTTTCCAAAATGGTTCACCCCCAGTGAATAAACAGTGTTCACATGACCACCTCTGACTTCGACAAAGTATTTTTATAGCTGGGCTGTATTGGATTGCAGTTCACTGTACATGTGGAAAGTAGGGGTGTGCGATATGTATTGTCTACGATAATATCTTAATTGTTGTAACGATTTGTGAGCAGACATTATTGAGTAGGTTACGTCCCTCACTTTGCAAAAAACACCTTGTCTGCGCATTCACTGTGTCATGCATGCAGAACACGTGTGCTGGAGTTAAACAAGTCAAAAAATTTATGACTTGAAGTTAAAAATGAGTGAACAACCAATTTAATCATATAAAACACTGACACCACCAGCCTCGCAGTCTTCGCCGATTGAATCGCTAGATATGGATCAGCCTCACTGGCATGGAGGTGGTTTGGCTTTGATAGGACAGATGTTGCTCAAAAGATGTCTGCAAACTGTGCTGAAAATTGGTTGCCGTTATAGACCACAAACTAACCACCGCACAAAATATCAAGAACATCAAAAGCTTTGGGAGTCAGCTGTCCACGACAGACCAGAACCAGCACAGAAACACACCTACAAACACTGCTACACTGATTACACAGAGACGACTTCAGGTGATGCAGTAAGGGGTGAATCAACACCTTATGGTTTTATTATGTCACTCAGCTCAGAGAGCATAATGAGTTGTGGCCGGTGGTAAGGAAATACTGAAAAAGCATTTATACAAATATTTCTGAGGCAGGTGCAGTGCAAAAAAACTTTTTTAGTTCCAACCAGCACATTCAAACTATGGTGTGTAATGAACACTGCAACTTCTAGGGGCACTTGCTTTCGCTTTATACTTAGGGTTTGATTTATTAGACATGTCCACCTTTATACTAAACCAATTCACTTAGGCCTACGTGAATTAGCGACCTCCAGATACAGTAGCTGAAAATGACAGCATTTAGATGAAAAGTGCTTAAAAATGCATGGTGCTCAGAACACGGAACTCTGGGAGACGTCTTGATGAAGATTAGATCACATGTAATTACAATCAATCATTTGTGAGATCTAAGAGATCTATGAGATTCCAAAGACGTGTCTAAAAAGAACGTTAGTAGCTTCCTTAAGAGTCTTGGCTGCCTTTAGAAAACAAAATCAGTGTTGGAATGGAAACTATCCAGAACGGCCACCTTATACTGCTGAACTGCTGTAACAAGGCTCATTCTTCTACCTGTGACTCATGTTTAGTGGCTCCAGCTGAGGTCCATGTGACAGCACTAAAAGCATCATCAGTCCTTTCCTTCAGATAACAGTGTGGGAGCGATGGATTCTGGCTTGTCAACTTCCCTCAGGGCTGTAATTAGCACACATATCGTCTTTTTAACCTGGGAACAAACTGTGTGGCTTAGAAACACTGTACAGGAATGCACAACAGTAAGTGTGTGTGTGTGTTTCGTGTTTATGGATTGAGAGTTTCAGTTGTTTTCCTTTTATGCAATCAGCCTCTAGTGTTTCTTGTAATGTGGAAGAGTCAGACTGCTTTTCACTTCAATTTTATCTTTATAGTGTCAATTTTTAACAGAAGTTATCTCATTGCACTTTTCATATAGAACAGCTCTAGACTGTATTCTTTGTAATATTATTAACAGAGACCCAACAATTGTGACCCTAACCATGGGTCGTCAGTGCGCATATGTAGGCTCAGCGCGCTGAAGAGACTGAGCCCCAGCTTCACTGGTGTTGTGCCGAGTTGTCCTCACCTCGCGCCTCATTTATCACCGTTGATGAACCACGCAAAGAATGTTGTATCGTTTTTAAACAGTGCTTGAAATAGTCCCATGACGTGCATGCAGTTGTCGGCCACACGGCATGCATGCAAAACTCTGCACAAGACCGGTGAATGGCAGGCGCGAGAGAGAAACGGGTCAACAATAAGCCTCAATGTAGCTGGAAATGTGCAGTTTAAGTTACAGTGACTAATAGAGACTGATTAGAGATTAAAGCGGAGCTACCATGTGTAACCCCCTCCCCTGGCTCGCAATCGCCGTGCAAAAACACACATGATTCATCTATCAGTGTCAGTGGACTATAGTCAGGACTTGACCATTCTGATTGGACTATGTAAATCCTTAGTCGGGGGGCAGCCCTAATCGACTCCTTCATCCACTCCTCTAGCCCCACTGGATGAAAATGGAGGCTCTGCTCTTTATTTATCTGTTGCCATTGTAGGTAAGTTAATTCAGACAAAATGTGTGAATTGAGATATATTGTACATCATACATCATACGTGTATTGCAATTTCGCCTAAAAATATCGTAATATTCTATAAGGCCATGTCGCCCAGCCCTGCCTACAAATTTCTAATGATTTGTCAGTCACTGTTAATGCATCCATCTTTGGGGAGGAAGAGGGGGTCGTTGTCATACCTTTTTTATATGCAAGAATGTTTGTTGGTTCGCCTCTATGACACACAGTGTCCATAGTCTGATTAATTTACTTTATTATTTATAAAGCAGGACAGTTAACCTTAGTCTTGTTGTTCTTTGATAACCGCTAATAAATAAAATAGTTTGTATAGGGGAGAGTAAAAATGTACTTAGGGTGAAAAACATTAATGTTGAACCCTGCCTGCCATCTGGAAACTAATGTTTTATTAATGAATAAACCTAAATTAGAATCACTTTCTGTAATAATAAAAAGACTTTTAACATTTAACAGATCGACTCTATTGCACAAAACACACATCTCAGTAAAATGTGTGGATATATTACTTCATCCTCACCTCTGTATTTTGGTATTTTTGGTATTAAACAGAACTTTAGCTTGGTCTAACATTATCATCACTGGACTCTGCGTGACCTACAGTACCAAACGTTGCCCCCACACCCACATCTCAGTCTCTGTCAGTTCAGATACAGTCTTTCTCAAACCACCACCACCACTGCAGCTCGGGACAAAAGTAACCCCCCCCGTGCATACCAGTGATCTCTGCATGTGTGCTTGTGAATGCATTAGTGAACGTCAGGTCGTAAACATCGGTTCCGTGGCCGTGCATCGAGTGTTTGCTTACAAGACCACATCACATGGCAGGGCTGCCAAGAGTAAGTCCACATAGGATTGCCAGTGGTCTCCTTCCATTTGCCACTTCTCCATAGAGGAAGACTTTGGGGATTGGCCATCCTCATGGCAACTGATGTGACCCAGCCAGCCTGCCCTACTAACCACAGTACGGTGGGTGGTTTAGTTGAAAGTTGGTGCAACTTTTAGTAATTAGTAAGTTTGAATATATAGTAAGCTCTACATAAGAAGTTTTGTGTGTAAATTGTGTGATTTTAATCTTCTGAAAAGTGTGTTGTCTCTTCACCTTAAGTAACCTCCTTTCTTCAGCTTTCTATCTTTGCAACATTTGCTCAATGAAAAAAGTTAGAGGAACAACCACACACACACACCTAGATTTATCTTGTACACTAAACATGGAGCACTAAGCTCAAAGCCAAAGCACAGAACTGCTGCATCTTATTAGCTTATTTGTATAATGGAATGTGACAGCAGTCTTGAAGTTGACGTAAAACTGTGCTGGCACTTACTGAAGCAGAGTGTAGGGTATACAGCTGGTAGCAATACTTTTGGAGGGGACTGTGTGTGTAGTGTCTAATGTTGACATGCAGGCCGTCTTCAAATGTGTGTTTTGTCTGACAGCTATGCAGACATGATTTATACAATTAACACAACATCACAATACCAAAGTAAACATTAAAGCTGGGGTAGGAAATTTATTTCAGAAGCATGTTTTGTTTGTTGAAATGTTCTTTATATCCCAACAGCGATCAATAAATCAAATGCTCTGACACAAACATTGCTGTCCCAGGACTGTAAACAGCTAATCATTTCACAACATGCATAGAAATATTGTGTAGAAATCCATTAAATATTCCTCTGATGCCTGAAAGCAGAGGAAGAAGCACTTGAAAAGGTTAATCTTTTTGTAACAAATACACATTGTCTTTCTTTTGAAGCCATCTCATCATCATTTAAGCCCCCTGTCCTGTTCTAATTTTCCGTGCCACAGTCTCATATCATCTCAGGGTCATTCAGTCTACTCTTTTATTCTTTTTCATTCCATCTAGAAGAAAAATCCCTGGCCCTCTGAAAGCCCATCCTGTGCAGGCGGACTGGACTTGGCGGGACAGCAGGACCCCCTGGCTTCTGCGGCCATGTCTGATGGAGAGGTGCTGCCCCCCACAGTCCCCTTTACAAGGGGCTGTAAAGCCAGAGCAAGTCTACCTGTGGGGTGGTCGAGTGGTCAGACAAGAGAGAGGTTGCCTGGTACGTACACACACACACACACACACACACACACTGTAGCGTTAATACCGCTTATTTAAGGCAGCACCAAAAATATGTAGCATAGGCAAAAATACACTTGCACAAAAGAAAAGTGGAGGGATGACACTGAACACGGCTGTCAGAGATTATCAATATTTAAACTAAATAACACAATATAATTGGCACCAGCCTTAGAAAAGGGAAAATGAGGTCATGTAAAGCATGTTTGGGTGAAGTCTGTCCTTGAGTCCTAACAGAGCCTGTTTCATAACCCAGAGGCCTTGTGGACTACTACTTAAGGGAAGGTTTATTCTTTTATCAATCCAAGATACAAAATGTCATCAGCATGCACACTGATCACGCCACAGCTCAAATATACAGTTGAAACCTGAAGTTTACATACACTATATAAAAAGACACATGCTTTTTTCCTCACTGTCTGACATGAAATCAGACACTCATCACTTTTCCTGGTTAATGTCCAGTAGGATTACCAAAATTATTTATATTTGTTAAAAGCCAGAATAATGACTGAAGGATTTATTTAGACAATTTTTTATTACTTTGGTCAAAGTCAGAAGTTTACATACATTTCATTAGTATTTGGTACCATTGCCTTTAAACTGGATGACTTTGGTCAAATGTTTTGGATATCCTTCCACAAGCTTCTCACAATAGTTGGCAGCAATTTTGGCCTATTCCTCCTGACAGAACTGGTGTAACTGAGCCAAGTTTGTAGGCCGCCTTGCTCGCACACCTTTTCAGCTCTTCCCCTAAATTTTCAATAGGTTTGAGATCAGGGCTTTGTGATGGCCACTTTGTTATCCTTAAGCCACTTTGGAACCAGTTTGGCAGTATGCTTCCGGTTATTGTCCATTTGGAAGACCCATTTGCGCCCAAGCTTTAACTTCCTGGCTGATGTCTTGAGATGTTAGTATTTCCACATAATGGTCTTTCCTCATGATGCCATCTTTTGCGAAGTGCACCAGTCCCTCCTGCAGCAAATCAACCCCACAGCATGATGCTGCCACCCCCGTATTTCACAGTTGGGATGGTGTTCTCAGGCTTGCAAGCTTCCCCCTTATTCCTCCAAACGTAACGATGGTCATTATGGCCAAACGGTTCGATTTTAGTTTCGTCAGACCACAGGACATGTCTCCAAAAATGAAGGTCTTTGTCCCTGTGTGCATTTACAAACTGTAATATGGCTTTTTTTCTGTTTCTTTTGGAGTAATGGCTTCTTCCCGGCAGAGTGGCCTTTTAGTAGGGGGTGGGGAAAAAATCGACAGCATAGTATCGTGATATTTGCCATTGCAATACTGTATCGATACACGGACGCCAAGTATCGATATTTTAGTATATAAAATGCAGATGGGAGTTTTAAATTTTTGGTGCTAGAATAATAAAATCTATTGCTTTTTTAGTCCTCTAGAAAACTTAACAGGACCATATAGAGGACTGAAAAAGTGATATGAACAAACAGAGAAATGTGTCTTTTTAGATAAACAGATGTTGACAAAGTTTGACTTAGGGACCTAATTGGAAGTTGGAAAAAGGTAATAAATTGCAATATATCTCAATATATTTAAAATCGCAATAAAATCGAATCGCAACATAAATATCGTGATAATATCGTATCGTGGGGCCTCTGGTGATTCCCACCCCTACCTTTTAGCCTGTGGATAATGACAAACTCTTACCAGCTTCAGCCAGCATCTTCACAAGGTCTTTTGCTTTTGTTCTTGGGTTGATCTACACATTTTGGACCAAAGCACGTTCATCTCCTTCCCGAGCGGTATGATAGCTGGACATTCCCATGGTGTTTATACTTGCTTACAACAGATGAACGTGATTTCTTTTGACTTTCCCATGATGTTACACAAAGAAGCAGTGTGTTTCAGGTGTGCCTTAAAAAAACATCCACAGGTGTGTCTCTAATTAACATAATCAGAAGCATCATCCGGGCTTTCCAAAATTGTTTAAAGGCATAGTAATCTTAGTGTATGTAAACTTCTGACTTTGAACAAAGTAAAGAAAGTAAAAATAGTCTAAATAAATTCTTCTCTCATTATTCTGGCATTTAGCCAATATAAATAATTTTGGTAATCCTAATGGACCTAAAACAGGAAAAGTGATTGTCTGATTTCATGTCAGACGGTGAGAAAAAAAAGGATATGTGTATTTTATATAGTGTATGTAAACTTCTGGTTTCAACTGTACACATGTACAAGGCCATGACCTGCACAGTCTGACTACTACTACATAGAAAGCTGAGTTCAGGGCTGAGCCCGGCTCTGGTTCGGGTGCCCATTTTGGACTCAGCTAACACTGCTAAGTTAGCTGCACAGCTAGCTAATGGCAGCTGTCCGCAGTTATGACCTGATATTGATATGCTGCCCCGACAGGTGTAGTCTCAGTTCACATTGTACCTTTAAATCCTCACGTACGTCCCGAGCAGCCTGCTGACAATAGACCTTCCAGGGACTGTGATGTAAGAATGTTGAGTTTTTATTCACACTGCAGATGTGTTTAGTTAAAGATACTGTACTGCCTTAATTTCAACTCTTGGAGTCTACCAGGTGCATTAAGGTGTGTGGCATTGTTACTTAAGGGATGATGACATTATGTCATGCTTGCATACACTTACACAGTAGCTGCCTCTAACAATAACCCAGGGGTTAGACACGTAGTTTGGTTGTCAGATGTGGTGCATTCAGATTAATGGATGTTCTCCTGTCAGAGACTAAAGCCCTCCCTGCCTGTGTGTGGTGTCTCAGGTGTGTTATACCTGCAGTACGGGGAGGAGACGAAGCAGGTCAGGATGCCTGCTGAGATCAGCAGTCAGGACGCTCTGCAGGCTCTGTTTGTCACTGCCTTCCCCCATCAGCTCACCATAAAGATGCTGCAGTCTCCCAACATGGCCATCTACATCAAAGACACCAGCCGCAACGTCTACTACCACCTGGAGGACATCAGGTGAGGGCCTGTTGATGCAGTAATTAGTCATTAACGTGCGTACTAAAAAACACCAACTTGTGTGCCTCCTAAATTACTGTGATACAGAAAAGGGTGATTCTGAAATGATGTACACGACCATTCCCTGCTCTCCTTTCTACCCATTCATAATGTCAAGATATACGTTCATAGTTATGTTCAGTTCAGAAGTAAGCTGGCAGGTTCAGTTACTAACTAATATCAGATAGATTTTAGAAATATGAATAAAGTTGTAAATATTACATTATTAAATAGATGAATGGAATCAGGGACCAATAACCAACAGTCTCAACTGTGAAGAGTGAATCTGAGCACTGACCGTGGTTTATTTCAATCTACAATATGATGAACAAAGCATGACACCAATCATGTACACCAATCCATCCATCCATCGTCAACCGCTTATCCTGCATATTTTTTTGAAACTCCACAAAGATTTCAACTTGTCACTAAATCCATTCCAGAATTTAAAAAAATCTCCCAGAATTTAAAATATCTATCCCAAAACACTTGTGTATTTTTCACTCACCTACATGTTTAAAATATGCACAATCCACTTAAACAGTACTTTCCTTCTAGTTTTTAATTAATTATTCTAGTTATTTATTTTTTTTAATACAAACAGGAACACTTTAATTCCTAACTTGAAAAAGTATTTTGATTTTACACAATATCTAAAAATGTTAATGTGCATGCAGGTGAAATAATTAGTCTGCAGATTCCCAGAAACCCTCTTTATTTATTATTCTAATAGCTCTTTTTTGAAGTTAAATTATAGGGTCCATATTTGTTTTAAATGCATTTCCCCAAACCTGTGATCGGGGGAAGAGCTACCTGTGCTGTGAATCAACAGATAGCAGATATGTACAGCGAGCTAACCTTGACACCCAGCTGTATTCTAACGTTAACATATCTATCCTTATTAGCTAGGCTCCTTACATGCTTGCTTAGAACTTATTTGAAGTTGGGTCTCTGACATTGACAGCGTTGTGTTTAGAACAAATACACTAACTTCTTAGAGTTAACTTCAGTGCTTTAGTTTTTCTATACCTGTACACACGGCTCTGTTTCAGTGTGTTTGTGAGAGAGAGAGGGAGTGAGTAAGCAGATTTACTGACAGTCTGTTGATATTGAGGCTTGTCATGTCGCCACAAATAAATTAATGAATGGGAAACACAGATTCTCAGATGTTTTTATTCATCTTAGTTCTGATAGTGAGTTAGTTACAATCTCCTTAATATAGGCACATGAAAACCCAGTTTTCACCCTGATTATCCCTTCAATCGTTGATAGGAGATCCAATTGCCAATCGGAATAAGCCTAGTGTACACTGCTCATCAGAAATAAACATTCACAGACCTTATTGCATTGATAAAAAAATGACTTGCTTTTGAAATTACGGTAGTAGTACATCAGAGTAATTTCCAGGAGACAGCATGATTTAGAAAGTCTCAGCAGCCATTAAAGAAACAGAGGAGGGACAGGCAGTGTTAAGTCACTGACTCCAATTTGCAAAGCCATTGTGATGAAGATCCACGTCACATATTAATGATTGTATCTTAAACATCATGAACAAAATACTAATTCCCTCAAAATAAGAATTTACAACAGTAACAAGTATATTTTTTTGGTCTTGCACATCTCATCCATCTGATCACTCAATTGGTTTTTTTTACTTTTCTTGTAAATCTTAAATATTCTTTTGCACGAATGTTGTTGTGTGAATGGTGATTCTGCATATAATAAAGTGTCCGAGACATTTTGTCCATTTGTTAACGCACATTCAGCGGTCACTGTGTGTTCTGTGTGCTTCTAGAAACATCACATCCCACTCCTGTCTCAAGGTTTATCATAAAGACCCAACACATGTGTTCAAACGCTATGCCAGGCCTGCCAACACAGAGGTGAGTCAGCCAAAACACCCTCCATATTTTTCATTGTATCCTACAGTGTTATGAATCAACTGTTTCCAGTTTCAGACATGACTAATAATTCAGTTCGATTTTATTTATATGGCGCCAATTCATAACAGAAGTGATGTCTTTGCACTAGGAATGCAAGACTAAATGGTAAATGGCTTGAAAATATGTAAATATTAAATATAAATCATAAATATTCATTGTATTGTATTTCTATAGTATTATGTAGATGTGAAGATAGCTTACTTGTTGGACTGAGCAAAACAGCCACCCTAAGTGGGATTTCCTTACTATCGGCTGCTCCCCCTACAATAAGATGTCGCCCCGTGTGGGTTAGGGTTAATCACTCCATGCTCAACGCTGGAACTCCCCAGGGCTGTGTGCTATGCCCCCTTCTGGTTAAGCTGTACACCCAAGACTACAACTCCCAACATGGAGAGAACTCTATTGTGAAGTTTGCGGACGACAACACCATCACTGGCTGGATTTCAAACAACGATGATAATTTATATTGGGAGGAAATTGATCTTTGATGGAATCCAGGAGATCTTGCAGAGTGGTCTGCAGAGAACAACCAACTGCTCAATGTCAGCAAAACCAAGAAAATAAAGACACACACTCCTGTCTGCATCAGTGGAGCTGAGGTGGAGCAGGTGAACAGTTTCAGGTTCCTGGGTATCAGAAAACCTGACATGGTCGTCTCACATCTCCACGCTGGTGAAGAAAGCTCAGAAACGACTATTTTTCTTGAGGAAGCTTAAGAAGGCCAAATTCCCACACCAAGTTCTTGTCAGCATTTACAGAGGAGCAATAGAAAGCATCCTGAATGGAAACACCACAAACTGGCATGGGATGTGCACGGCCCAGGACCAGAGGACTGGGTGATTAAACTGCTCAGAAGATCATTGATACCCATCTCCCGAGCATCAGTGATATCAGTGAGGTGAGGTGTCTACGCAGAGCCCAAAGGATACTAAAGACAGTTTCTACTGCCACACTACCAGACTGCAGAGCAGCCTTTTCCCCCAGGCTTTTTTTATCCCTGTGTCAGCACCCCTCCTGCGTCTACAGTGTTCTCGTTGAACTGACAGCCTTTGATTCAACTGCAGACAGGGCAAAACCATCTGTTGGGACGTTAAACCTTAAACCTAAGCTATTGGTGCTGGAATTAATGACAGAAGTGGCAGAATCACATACTGTATAATGATTTCACATCACAAATCATCGGATGTACTTTTGTAAAACGCCATCTTTGATGTCCAAGACTGATACACTACTTTGGCCCTGTCGTTAACCAGCAGGCACAGTTTTTCTCTTTTGACTTTGTTTTGCTTCTACAGTTACTGTATACCGCAAGGAAACATAAAGCCAGTTCTCGCAAATGTCCAGGTCTTTGTTACTGACATCTGAAGATAAACACTCCGTGTGATGTTCATAAGCCTCCTGAGGTCCTGTCCTGCTGATAGAGATCACAGGACAGACTAACACACACTATCATCCACAAACACACACACACACACTAAAAAACATGAAAGGCACAGTGTTTTCTGTGTATTGAGGACTATCACATACTGAAAATCCACTGAATATACAGTTTGACTTGGTGTGGTGAAACACCAAAGCAAAGACTTATGAAAGTACAGATAAACACGTTTTCCTCTCACACACTTCATTATCTTTATATTGTCATTATATACAAAAATGTCAGTGCCAGGGGAATTTACAAATGAAAATCTAAAATACATTTTTTCACTTCACTGTTTTGACATCACTCATCTTTCTGAGTCTTGGTCTTGTCTCTTCATCCATTTTAAAGTGAGAAATGTTCATGAGCAAACAGCAGAGGGATGTATTTGTGCAGACATTTAAACTTCTGAGGCCACTTACATGGTTTTAAATATTTAACTGCTAGCTAGTTGTGAGTGTTGGCTGTCAGTCCAAGTGGTTGGTAGTTCAGACAATAGCTTTTCTATGGTATTAAAAAGCAACCAGAGGGAGAACCTCACCTGCACTTGGGCATCAATAGTGTTGTTGAGTAAGAGAACCACAGAGTGCTGCTGATAATAGAATGTGTCAAAATAATAAGTGGCTTTGGACCTCCAGCATGTAACTCCCCAAATAACCATAGACTGTCATTTTATGTTTCTAGATTAAAGAAAAGAGATACCATTTGTTAATAGGTGTATTTTTGAATTTTGGAAAGAGCCAGGCTCACTGTTTCCTTCTGTTTCCACCATTTATTCTAAGCTAGGCTAACCATGTCCTCAAACAAGTCCAACAACATGTTTTGCAGGTTGTTTATCCATGCCTCCCAAAATGACACATGAGAAACAGTTAGGATTAGGTTGGCTAGGATTAGGCAACAATAACTAATTGGTTAGGTTTAGGAAAATGTTGTGATTTGGGAAGTATGGCATCTTACTTTTGGAAACAAATAAGTGTATTTCCCAAAATATTGAACTGTTCTTCAATAATACACAACTCAGAAGAATAGGGAAAAACATATTTATTTATATACAAAGTGACCATATTTGAAAGTAGAAGGTTTTCAACTGACAGAAACAATATGCAGATGATGTAAATAGGATGTTCTCTGGAGTGGCATATGGAATGTGACAAGAACAAGACAGATGGCATGAATACATATTAGCCAAGGAGTCTTAAATAGACCAGTATTAGGTAAACAACAGGAGATTGTTAGTATAGGTTATATTCCCCCTGAGTGTACTGCTGTGGCTCTGCACTGCACATGACCTCTCTGAACAGAGAGTGGGCGGATGTCTGACTGTGTAGCAGTGATGAGGAAAGACAGGTTCAACAAGGCCACAGTAAACATGTTGTGCCCCATAAATGATGCAGTCACCTCGGGCCAATCAGCAACAAATATGTCACCTTGTTTTGACCCATAATTATAGCATCTCCTGGACAAGTGAGTCATGTTGCAAATGTGGCAGCACAGCACAGAGATGCAGCATTTCCTCTCAGCTTCAGTATTCTGAGAACACCCACTCAGTGCTGTTGTCTGAGAATCACAGATACTGTGTCACTGTAGGCAACTACCCTGCTAGAGATGCCTCTTTAATGTAACAGATAATCAAATATGATGGCCGTTATCCTCTTCCTCCGTTGTTTTTAACAATTATGAAAAGGTTGCACGGAACAAGCCCTTTTACTAACATGCAGTCCATATGTCGTGTTTCATTAAGGCATCTTGACAAAGTCCATGCTTCATGTTGTCTGAACTGTCCTGATAACATGCCGCTACTTTCTATCCATGAGTTTGGGATGTGTTGCCAATTACTGGGATTATTTTTGTCAGTGAGGGGGTCTGATTCTGTCGGAAAACCGAGACACTGTTATGCTCCCACTTGTCACATATAGGATATTGACCCAGATGTGCCTCCTTCACTGTCCACTGCCTTCTCTGCTATTCACACACTATAATAGTATGGCGTGACCTACAGACAGTCCAGTTAGTCTGTGGAATGTCTCTGTTCATTTCCCCATGTTATTTCCCATATATTTCTAAATTCTTGAAGACAGAATTGATAAACTCCTGCACATAACTTTATTTATTTAGATATCCAAAGATTAAAATGAGTGATAGGTTGAGTGTAAGAGTTCAGTTCAGTTATGGTTTCTCTGCAGTTCAAACCTGATCAAGTCTTCTCAATGTTTCACTCCCTGCAGGGAGTTTCACATCTGAGTCAGCCACAGATGCTCATTGAAAAGGAATCGCTTATTAAATTGTCTCGCAGAGGAGCAAGTTCATAACACACTGGTTATTTTAGCTTTTCTGCACAGTAAATACAGTTAATTGTATTTACGCATTAATTAATTAACGGCGACAATTTTTTTATATCAAGTTAACGCAGTTTTTATTATTACGCTGTTATTATGAAAGTCCGTTTCTCACTGGCTCTGAATACACATCCAGAACCATGGGTCACGGAGAGGTGGGATGTTGATCAGCCTGCAAATCAGCCACTCAAACAAGCAGTGGAGGGAGGCTTCAGCAGACTACGCTGCAGTGTGAGGGAGGAGATAAAAACAAGCTATCAAACGCCACAGCCAAGTGGATAGCTCCACACTGCATGCTGGTTAGTACTGGGGAAGATGTCGGTCTTAGGAACGTTCTTAAAATCACAATGTGCTTGGCCCTGCGGGGTCGCTCTGCGCTCCGGTGAACAGGATACAAATGCTCCGCGAGTAAACAGCAGGCGCTCTATGGAGAATAGCCATGGCAACGGCTTCTGTGCGCTATACAGCTGTAACCTATTTAACATTGTAAAGAAAGGTGAAATTAGTTTAGTAGAGTGTCCAAAATCTTAGAAACTTTCTCAATAGAAAAACAAGATTTTTATAAATACCTGCAGTTGAGAACTTATTATAATAAAAACATCAACAGGGAAAACACTAGAGAACCCAGTAAACCAATTATTCATAAATGCATACAAATCTGAAACTAAAAGAGGGAATATCTCCCAGTTGTGCCTTCTCAACCTCAAAGCCAAGTCAACAAAATATAAAGATCATATGAGATAAAGAAGGAGAACAGACAGTCACAGACACAGAAGTATGTCAAAATATTTTTTTGTCTCAATGGAAAATCACAAAGGTTATATTCAGTCTGCAGGCCTTAATGCTCAATTACGATTTTTTCCCAGATCCAATTTTTTCACATTAATGTTTAAATTAATGTTTAAATGTGGCCCATATAGTGCAGAAGAATACAATGACGTCACACGCAGCACGCTGTCGTGCAGAAGCTAACAGAGGTTAGCTCCCGTTAGCTCCCGTTAGCTCATACTTGCTCAACCTCCCAATTTTCTCCCAAGATTCCCGTTTTTCATTGTCCTCTCAGGGGTCACATTTCTCCTGAATTATGACAAGTGTTCAAGTCACACATGATTTTTTGTCACTCCACTGATGAAATCACATTATGATGACCCTGCAGATTGTTTGTGTGTAATCTTAGTTCTGAT